GAAAACTAGAGTCTGTTTAGGAAGATGCTTATAGAAAAGCTGCGAAGCATTACTGCAAAACATTACATTGGCAAAACGAAACGTCACTTAGAAACTAGAGCCTGTTTAGAAAGATGCTTATAGAAAAGCTGCGAAGCACTACAGCAAAACATTATATTGGCAAAACGAAACGTCACTTAGAAACTAGAGCCTGTTTAGAAAGATGCTTATAGAAAAGCTGCGAAGCATTACTGCAAAACATTACATTGGCAAAACGAAACGTTACTTGAAAACTAGAGTCTGTGAACATTTCGGAGTATCTAACAGAACCAAATATCCACTACTTAAACCCAGCCACTCATCCATTCGTTCATATTCTGAAATCACAGGTCACAATATTATATTTAACGATTCCTTTATCATCACCACAGGATCTTCAGACCTTGACCTCTACATTAAAGAAAGTCTACTCATAGCTAAAGACAGTCCGACCCTTAACGACTCACAAAGCTCTTTAGGTCTAAAATTGTTCTAAATTTTCACACTTAACTCAGCTGTTTTGTAATATATGTATATATAAACGTTGTTTTATCTGTCCATTTACCGCTTTTTCTTAATAACTAACTAAACTAATGATTGTGTTATTATATTATAATTTTAGTGATAATCATCTTTGTAACACAATTTTCAAATTTCGCTGAAGATGGAATAAGTTATTCCGAAACGTTTGAACCTTGTAAATAAAATGTTTTATCAACCGTCTTCATCATCATTATTATTTATGAATATTGTGATATTTGATTTATATATTTATTTTTTATATTTAAAAGTTAGTTTTTGAATACAATAACGTTTTTTATTTCTTATATTTGAAATGGCCTCCATAAGGATATTTTCCTCAGAGCCTCCACATACCTTAATCAGGCCCTGGGTGAAGACTGTATGATCCTCTTTTATACCCCTGCTACATGGCTGTATTTTGGATTGTAGCTGATTTTCCACCATTATGATCCTCTTTCCTACCCCCACATGAATGTTGGTTCCCGGTGTTTTGGGTTTTGGATTGTAGTTGACTTGCTGGTTGTATAATCCTCTTTCCTACCTCTACATGGATGTTAGTACCCGGCAGCCAGATTTTGGATTGTAGTTGACTTATTGAGTGAATGATCCTCACGTTACCCCTGCATGGATGTTGGTTTTTAGTGGCATGGGTTTTGGATGTAGTTAATTTGCTGTGTACGGTCTGTTGTGCCCTAGCCTTTCAACACATAGAAACACATGCTTTTCATTTTACCCACTTTTGTCTTTTCTGGGATTGAGTTTCATAAATATTGCATGGTTTGTATTACTATTCGGCCATAGTTCTCTCCCACTCGGAGTGTTCTTCGGATGCTATCGAAGGATGCTTCTTTCTTTCCCTTGCACTGGTCCCTCCACCTATTCAATGTGGGATTCTAGCTATTTATGTGAGCGGAGGTAATGTACCGTATCGGAAGTTACAATTTTTCATATACTGATAATGTATTTCCAATAGGTACTTACCACACTTTCCACCCTTCCTTCCCACTGTAAACCAGTGCTTCCATTTTCTGCCAAAATTTGATGTGATAATGCAGTAAAAAGAGAGTATGTCGCACACTTATTGGTGGAGGGTTGTCACATGATGATTTGCATGAGAGACTCGTTGGAATCAGTCAGTTCCAATTGAGGGGAGATAAAAGACTTGTAGCATGCATAAAAAATTTTTGCATATGGAGGGCAGCACTGAATGAGAATAGATATTTATGTGAGATGAGATAAGTACCTATCAGAAATACATTTTCAGTATAGGAAAATTATAACTTTCATGTGGCAATTTGAAATCATTCCAGAAGGAAAAAGGGTAAGTTACATTTATTTAGTTTTTTTTTTTGGTGGTTACAAGGTCGGTCAAATTGAACAACCTCATAGAGGTTTAGGGTAGAGAAAATAACATAAAATATATATAAAGTTTTACTGAAAAAAAAATATTTAAAATTTATTTAGATTATACAAATGAAATATGAGATTTTTCAGATGAATAAAAGTAGTTTTAAATCACTTTGCATTTGGAGCAGTCAATACTTTGACTCCATATATTCATCGAGAAAATTTTAGTGGAAATACTTCATTAAAAATTTTGGATTATTTTCTACAAATGACTTAATGATTACTAAAAGCTTGTGAAATTTCTTAAAGATACACAACATATTATAAGTTATAGTGTGGAAACTATAAAGGTCAACTGGGGTCATGAACTCAGCTGATTCGACCTGTCCCATAATGAGAGAGTTAATAGCTGTTTGTTGTGCAGAGAGGTAAATACCTATCTGAAATAGTTTTCAGGTAAACAGTAGTTAACTTACAAGAGAGTACATGTTCAAAGGCATGGTCTATTATTCTTTGGTCAGAAAAATAAGATAAATCAAGCTTTTTAACAGGCCAGAAAGCAGCAGCATTAATATATATTAATGCCTTGGAAAGTTGTTAGCCCTGCTCTATTTAGTTAGCTTGCTTTTATGAGAAATAGATTGTTTTTGTATTGGTGAGTTATCTATTTATTTGGTTTTGAATATATTTCAACATATAGTAATCTTTGTTGACCAACATTTTACAGTTTGTATTACATTAGTCTCAGCTGTTAATATTTATTTGGACAGGAGTATTATGTCTGAAAGTGAGCTGGATGCTAAGACAATACAGGCCCAGAAAGAAGAGCAAGAAAGAAAGAAGTTTCTTCAAGAAGCTCAGCTTCGGGTTCTCCAAGAGAGACGGTTACTTTTAAAGAGATTAGAAGAGAACCCAGAACTACAGTTAACATGTATTCAGCCACCTTCAACAGTTTCTGTTCATCCACAGCAAATTACAGAACAACAAGCTAATGGTACAGCTGACTGTACAGGAAATGATTCTATACCTGTAAAGAAAAAGTCATTGGACAAAGACATCATTCTAATTGGAAGTAGTGATGAAGAAGGTGATAACAATTTTGAAGACCAATCCCAGAAATTTAACGTGACTTTGGAGACTTCACAAAAAACTAAAGGTAATGTATGTAGGTGTTCTTTATGAAGGAGGTTGCACACAGTAATTTGAAAATGGCCAGGGTTTACAACTTACAAGACTCAGTTGCCTGGTTTATGTTACAGGATGTGAAGAAGTAAATTGAATGTCACTGTTTACCAGGGACTAGGCAGCTAAAGTGTGTTTTACCTAAAATATTACAAGGTTTTATTTCCTTTATTGTTTGATGTTACCATTTACTATTTAATGTTTTATTTTTCTCAGCATAAGAATCATACTTAACATAAATCTTGTGACTGTATCACAGTTTCCAGTTTTTATTTTTACAAGTTTTATGTTATCTTCTTCAAAAAAAAACTTCAAAATATAATCAAAGAATTTTGGTAATTTCACCAGTAAATTAAAATCATTGTAAAAGTTTCCATATAAAACACACAAAAACAATATTTTCTTAGTGTAGACTTTATTGAAATTTGTGGAAAATATTCGAGAAAAAAAATGTTAGAGTAATTCATGAAAGTGACGCATATGCCAGGGGAAACTAGACTCAAATTATGTTTCTGTTGTACTAACAAAATATATATTATAACTTTCTTTTTGGCTTGCCTCTAGGGTTAAATGATTTGGATGTGTTTTAGCTCTTTGAAATATAAGATGATTTAATAAAATTCTGTATGGTTAAAACTAAAAGTAGCTCAAAAAACATAATTTTGTTGAACTAATTAAAAACATATTTAATAATTAAACATTAGTGTGTGCTTATTATCAATGTCAATAAGTTTGGCATCAAAACATAGTTCATAATTCAAATTATTATGTTATGTCAGTTTTAGTTTTTAATTTCAAAAGGAAATATTTAAATAAATTCTGAATTTTC